CTTAAGATATGGGTTCTTGAACAACAGTAGCACCTGGCTCGAAATATGAATTAGGATAGACAATGAAGCTATCTGGAGTTGGTAGGAAGATCAGAAAGTAAATTTAATGTTAAGGCAAAGCTTTATAGTAAAGATATACAAATGTTGCATTTGTTATATAATTTTTATCAACCATGCACAGGTTATAATAGTGCCTTTAGAGTTTTAGATTTCTTTTTATATTTTTTCTTTTTTATAATTAGTGTTTCTTTTTTTTTTTTCTGTTTTTTCTTTTTTTCTGGTTATTTTCATTACTCTTTGTTGAAAAATTTCCTTCTTTTGTCTTGTGCCTCTTAAGAAGAAGAAAGAATTAGAAGGAAAAAAAAAAATTTTGACACAGTATATAACAACTTGTCAAATAATCGAAAAAGTATTCTTTGTCGATACAAAATCTAAAGCAAGTTTTGGATCTCGCTGTAAAACTAATAGTTGTTATAGCAGGTCATATTGGGCTTCGGCTTGGTAAGTTTCTATTAGAATAAAGTATTATACTAGTTTAGATTGTTATTTTGTATAATAATCTTATAGTAGTTTATAAAATAAATAGAAGCAGGATCGCTTAATATAAAAAAAAAAAATAATAAATAATAATAAATAATAAAGAATAATAAAAAAAACTAAGGAATACTAAGAAACAATAAGAAATAATAAGAAACAATAAGAAGTATTAAGAAACACTAAGAAATATTAAGAAGCATTAAGAAATATAATAAAATATTAAGAAATGTTAAGAAGCATTAAAAGACAATAAGAAACATTAAATAATATCAGCAACTCTCCCTGATGATTACTTGGACTACCCTCCTCACAGAAAGAAAAGTAGAAAAAGTTTACTAGAGTATTGTATAGCTACAGGATGGTTTGTAGTGAGATTATAGTGGACTCCTTGCTATGTTCAGTATGCAAGCCAAAAGCTGAAAACCGGATTTGTAAAGAGTGAAGCGATATGTTCACACGCAGGTGGCGCCCTGTATGAAGTGAAGTATAATTCTGGTAGTATTATCATTACTGTCAATGAAGTTTTGTAGACTATAGTTTGAAAGGGGTCTTGGTTGTTTTTAGAGAGGTCAACAACTGCCTCAGGACTCTCCTCTATATCTAATATACAAGCCAGAAGCAAAGACGCAAAGGAGAAAAAGGCAGGTGGCACTCACTATTGCGTATAAATTCTGGTAGAAGAAATTCTATTAGCTAAGCCTTTTGGACTCCTTGAGAACTCAGGGGTATAGTAAACTTTTGTAGTACTATTTCTTAATAAAAAAATAAAACATTTATCACATACTATATTGAAACTTTTTGGTTTCAAGCCGCACTCTTTTATTTTATACAAGTGGTCTCCTTTATTACACACTCTTTTTCATTGCTGCTGATTTTCCAAAAAATTTTGACAAAAAGTGAGGATTTGGCTTACTCCCTCCAAGTGATTGGCATAGATTACACAGTATTTATATTTTCATATCCGGTTGACATAATAGATGGCAATCACATGTCTAGTATAAGCAAACATGGTGCTACTGGTTTTGGCTCAAGGCCGCAGAAGACTGAAAAGTTGGTGTGGGACAATGATAGTATCTGATTAGAAGAACCCAGACGAAGACTTCTAGAAATAGTAGGGTTAGAGAGAAATTAATAGTATAGGTAAAGCCTTACAATAGAGATATGCAATATTGCTACAAGCATATAATTTTTATACTTGCCTAGCACAGGTTATAATAGTGCAATTTTCTTTTTTCTTGTCGAGATTGCCAACTTTTCTTTTTTACTTTTTTGCTGGTCCATTTATGATGGAATTATATTTAGGATAGCTTCTTTTTGTGATTTTTGGTTTTGATTTTCCTTTTATTCTTCTAAATGTTTTTGGTCTTTCATAAATGTGGTATATATGTTCTTGCTTATAGAAGAGCAGGAGATAGTTATTTTGCCTGGATTTTGGTGGAAAAAGTTAGAAGAAAGGTTGGTAATCCTGACAAAGTATATAATGGCCAGTCCATAATTGAGGAGGAGTACTCTTTTGGATATAAAATCATGAGTTAGTTTATGATCTCTGAGTAGACAAACAGTTGTTATAGCAGGTCGCATTGAGTATTTATACTTGGTAAGTCTTTATTAAATAAAACAATAAGTTGTAAGAATTTTGTACACTTGGGTATAAAAATTATATAACAGTTCACACGAATAAAAACAGAATCGCTAAAAAAAAAAAAATAAGAAACATTAAGAAATATAAAGAAATATTAAAAAATACAATAAAATATTAAAAACATAGATTTATAACAAGTATTGTGATAAATCTATTCCAGCTTGTTGTTTATCAATTTTTGGTTTATCTTTGTTTATCTATTGCTAGCTATATATCAATCTGTTTATCATATATTATAGCTTGTTTTAATTGTCAAAACTTTCTAAATCTGTTAGAACTAAAATATCTAATATGTTTCTAGACGTTTAGCACATTCTATAATAGACTAATGTTTGTTATAGCAAGTCGTATTGGGTTTTGTTTGAAACCTGGTGAGTTTTTATTGAATTAAAGCAATAAGTTGTAAGAATTTTTTTTTTTTTTTTAAATAATTCGGCAGCCATGCCTTTACTTTATTAGGCTTTGTAATAATCATCTAGACTATTAAAATTTTAAAGAGACTTATCGGTGAGTGATAAACTCTAAACATGTTAGCAAATAGCATATGAGAACTATCTCTAAACAACATGTGCCATGCTTGAAAGCCACACAACTATACCTAAATTACAAGTAAAAACTAACCTGGTTGCTTAATGAGTATCTATGTTCGACCTGCTATAGTAGGATTTTCCTTCTTCTGGATCCCTCCTGCAATTGGATATGGTTCAGCTTTTAACAGATAGTACCTACTGCCCATTATGACCACCTTTTCCTTCTTTCAAACTTCTTTTACCTAAGTCCAACAACATAATTAAACCCTTATTCATATATAAAAGTAAAAAAAAATAAAGTCATGTTTATAAAAGATCTAAACATTTTAGAAAAAAACACCTCATAGCGAGAAAAAAAAAACAAAAATAAATTCTAAAATAATCTAACATAAATAAACAAAAATAAAAAAAGTGAAAAAAAAGAAAGGTAGTCATAATATACTATTATAGTCCGTGCCAGATATAGGATAAAAATTATATAAATTCTGCAACTGAATATTATATCTCAAGTGTAAAGCTTCCAACTTTATCATATAAACTCCTTCCAGATACCAACTTTATTTAGATATCTCCTAAACAGGAACATCGAAATCATCAGATACTTGCTCTGAGAAATCGATCTCTTCTTTGTACCATAGCACAGTGTTTTTCTATAAACAAAACATGTAATTGCGTTCTACTGAGTTTATCTGAATTAGGTAAGTATAAACAATGCCGATTTTTTGAAGAAGGTAAGCCAAATTTCCACTTTTTATCAAAAAATTTTGGAAGAAAGGTGTAAAAGTGGAGACAGGTATAATAGAAGTTACTTGGCTTCAAATTTTCAAGAAAGTGTATTAAAAAAAACTCATTTGTTGTTCCCCTTCTATTATGTTACCTATGCTTGACTTTATTGACAATATAGCCTCACTTTTATCAGAGTACCAATATCTCCAAAATTTTGTATACAAGGGCAACATCTCTGCCAGTTATCTTGTATACCAATGCTTTTGGTTTGCATGCCGAATATGTAGAGGAGTCCCCAAACAGAAAATTGACCTTTACAAGAACCGCTGCATAGTGCCTTCACCTTTTCCAACGAAATTTTTAGTTTTGTTCGGTAGGAAAATTTGGTATAAGTGATTGTCAAAAAGAGTTTTTTTGATAAGTTGTAAGAATTTGGTACAATCTGTATATAAATTGTATAATAATTTATATGAATAAAGGCAGGATTATTTAAATAATAAAAATAAAAAAAATATTTTGAATATTAAATAAATCTATATATTGCACTTTGTGATATGCTAATTTATCACATATATATAAATTATAATTTTAAGTTTGTTACACAAAATTAATTTGTATATTTTATTGGTTATGTGATACATAATCATAATGCAGAAATACAAAGCCTAGAAAACTCTAAATTTTTGAATATTTTATATTTTGTATATTTGTAAATATTTTTGTAAATATTTGTAATATTTTTACATATTTTTTTAAAAATATTTATAAATTTGCTAATAATAGTGAGAATATAAAAGGCTCTAGTTATGAATAAATGGGTTGTATAATTTAAAGTTCTAGTCTTAATATTTCATATAATATACAGTATATGTGTTTACAGTATTGCTATATGTCAATTTACTTAAATATTGTTATACTCTAAATATTAAAAAAAAATACGTATGAAGTAGAGGTTTATATAACATAATAAAAATTTAATATTAAGGTTTAAATTTTGTTACACGTAAGGTTTTTGGAAGTTCTGCGTAAACATTTTTACAAGAACCCCTAACTTTAACTTTAATTACTTAGTGCGTTTTTGAGATATAGCACCCCAGGGGGCAAGTTAGCAATAGTCTTATTAATATATATTGTTTTTTAATTTTGGCTAATCGGTATTTAAAAATCGATATACAGTATGTATTTTGGCTTTTAAAAGTTTATTAAATATTTTTTATTCTTTAAATCTGCATATTATAAATTAATAACATAAAACTAATATTGTATATACAGTACGTATATGTTTTGATACGTAAGAAAAAACATACAGTATTTTAAAAAGGATTTACATAGAAAGTTTAAATTCAGTAGGACCAATAATGAATAGAACTCGAATGATCCGACGAACTCTATTTGGTAGATAATACCCTACGATTACTAAGATTACTATTTTTACTGTCAAATAAATCGACGTTGAATTTTTACTAATTTACATTTTGCATTAGATCCGTGAAACGTTACACTATTAACAGATTTTGTATATAATGCTCTTCAAACTTCATCTCAACTATATCTATTAGAACGAAATGGATTCAAATAATTTGCCAGCAGGATGGACATCTCATTATGATCTAAATAGCAAAAACTATTATTATATCAGTGAGTAGTTTATAAGAGTCAAGAAAGTTGAAATTTTAGAGTAGAAAACATGATAATTAGTATATCCAAAGGATGTTAAACATTTTTTTTTCATATAGATCAGGCGACAGGAGCTTCTCAATGGCAACATCCAGGACAGTCACCTGGGCAATACGCACCTCCGTCTCAACCTCAACCGCAATCTCAATCGCAGCCTCAACCACAATCTCAACCTCAACCACAATCTCAACCTCAATCTCAAACACAATCTCAACCTCAATCTCAAACACAACAATTCCATAGACAGGATTCATATCCTATGCCAAGTCCTCAAACACCGCAACTCCATAGACAGGATTCATATCCTATGCCGAGTTCTCAAACACCACAACAGCCGCAACAACCACAACAACCGACCTACAATGCACCACCGCCTCAGTATACTCAATCACAACCGGTAAATTATGGACAAGCACCACAAACATATAGTTATCCTGGACAATACCAACCACCCTCTAGCGGGCAATATCAAGCGCCACCGAGTGGGCAATACCAACCACCGCCGAGTGGGCAATACCAACCGCCACCTAGCGGGCAATATCAACCGCCACCTAGCGGGCAATATCAACCGCCACCTAGCGGGCAATATCAACCACCACCATCTGGACAATACCAACCACCACCACCTGGGCAATACCAGTCACCGCCTACAAGTCAAGACGACAAAGGCGACAAAGGCGACAAAAAGGGTCTGTTTGATAAGGTTGATGCTTCAAAGATAGCATTAGGAGTTGGAGGCATGTAATTTTATTTTTTACGTTATATTCTACAAATAAATGATATTTAGTTTATCAAATTTTTAGCTAATACATTTTTAAAAAATATGTAACAGGTGGAGCACTTGGAGCTGCAGCCTTAGGATATTTGGTAAGAAATATATATATATATATATTTAATGACGGAGAGAAATCCAAGTTTTTTCTGGTTTTACAATAATAATGAATTATAAAAAGATAATTCGAGAAAAAAGGATTTCACTCTCTCGTATTATTTACACATTTAAACTTGAAGGTTTTTTAAATTAATCATTTACAAATTATAATTATTTAGGGACATTCACTTTTGTCGCATCATGAACAAGATAAACATAAACATGGCCATGGTCATGGTCATGATCACCACAACCATCACCACCACCGAGAATTTTGAGAAAGTTCAATAATGAAAATGAATGGTTAAAATTTTATAAACTAATAAAACGATGTTAACAAATAACAGTAAATTATGCAAATATAAAAATAAAGGGTGTGATTTATAACTGCGGTTATCGTTATCATACAGTTGTATAATAATAAATGGATATCCAGTAGGACTGTGAAAGGTGCACCGCACCAATCAGAATTTAACTTTGATTCCCTTTAAAATTTTTTTTTTTTTTTTTGAACTTTCTCAATAACTACGTGATAATTCAGTAAAGATTTTTCATTTTTTCTGTGCCTTTAAAAAACAAACAAAATTTGAATTTGATACAATGGTAAATTGAGAAACATTCAAATATCTTAGGAAATATCAGGAAAAAAAACCAGATTATTCGATATTTACCTGACAAACCAAGATTTTAATTCTATGAATTCATAGAATTAAAATAAATAAAAAAATTTATCGGTTTGGAATCTTGTTAAAAATTAAACATCTATAAAAAAAAGAGCTGCGACCAAATTCTTTTCTAATTTTAAATGAAGATTTCTAGGCAAATATTTAACTAAATTCAATAAATTCTTTATTATAATTCTGCAAATGAAGATTTCTCGGCAAACATTTAACTAAATTCAATAAATTCCCTATTATAATTCTGCAAACTCATTTGATTGATGGCTATCGAAAAATTTTCATTAAAGTTTTTTTTTTATAAAAAGAAAACTGTAATAAATTTTTTATTTAAACCTTAAAGATTTCTTAAATATCTAATCACCGATGAAATTTTTTTAATTCTGTAAACTCGTAGAATCAAAATAAAAAAATTCATCAAATTTGGTTAGACGACTATCGAAAAATCTTTGTTTAGAGAAAAAGAAAAAATTTGCCAATTTTAGTTTTTTTTTTTATTAAACATTCTGAACTTTTTAATTCTAAAAAAAAAAAACCAATCATTCGTGCATCTTTAGTGGAACTACTGGGGTAAACTGACTGTTGTTTTGCATACTATGTATGGCAAATTTGTCAGCATTACATATTGAAATGAATTAAAAGAAGATATCGATATTCTGAAGTATATAATTTGTAAATCGTAACAAAATCGTAACTTATATATTGAAATGGATTGAAAGAAGATATCGATATACTGTAATAATTTGTAAATCATATGACAAAAATTAAGATAATTTTTTGCTGATATATATTTGTATATATCATAATATGGGATTACAGGTACCATACCATACGAGTCTTGTTATTTAATTTTGTAGTAGATCCTGAAACAGCCCACTTTGAATTTGATCTCAATTGTGGATGTAAAGCTTCATTGGTAATCTAGCTACAGCAGGATAGCACCAAGTACATAACGTAAATATTTGTTAAAATTAGGTTGTTTTAGTACCTACTATATCACGTGCCTTGATTAGCCTTGGGGCGGGAATGTTAAACTTAGGTATAACAAGGTGTATCACGTGCAGTTCGATAAATAGAAGGACAATATGATAAGTATATACGTATACAGTATATAAAGTATATAATATGCAATGTAAGTTAAAAATTAACGCAGTTTATCTTGATAAAATTCTTATTTTAAAGAGATATTTTAAGTTTCTTGTATCTTAAAGTAATGGCTAACTAGTTTATTGGATCATTCGATTGTTATGTCCAAATGATTGACCATCAATCTACCAAACAAAGAATAAAATTTGTTCACAAGGTTATCGGACTTTCTTTTAAGCAAATGAAACATTTCAAAAGAAGACTCGTTAATCAATGTTTAACAAATAAAAATTGTCATACTGTGTACTATGATCTAGATGTGACGCATTTTTGTTATTAAATTATTATGTATATAAACTTACGATTTTTCCCTTTCTATCATACAAACCATAAGTTTTATCCATTAAATTAAAATATATGTAAAACAGTTATCATAACTGATTATCATTAATGAAATTATTATTTAAATTTTCTATTCCTACCTTACAATTTCAATTTTCTCCTTCTCCTCCTAAGAAAAATTCTGTTGAAACTCTTTATCCAAGTCTATCTCGAGCTGCTACTGCAAGAGGCGCCGCTGCTCGTCACAGCATAATGTCTACTGAGTCGAATAATGAAGTAGGCTCTTGGTCCTCGCTTGACGACCCAGCACCTGTTGACATTAAAGAAATTATACCTTTGACCGCTCTTTGCCCTGAACAAGAAATTCACAGGGCTGCCTTTAAAATTCTACAACAATGTATTGACTTTATAAAGAATTTACCTAAAGATGATTGTTATGTATTTGAAAGTAAGGTTGTTCCTCCAAGTACTATTGGAAAACACGTTAGGTATTTATTTTATCTTTTTTTTTTCTATAATTATGAGACGTCCTCATTCAATTCAGCATCAAGTATTAATCTATTTTATTATTTTATTATTTTATTATTTTATTATTTTATTATTTAAGACACATGTATGATCATTTTCGTTTGTTACTTGAATCAAAGCCTTTAGTATCAAAAAGAGCTTCTGTCGAAGATATAGAATATAATGATTATGATTCAGTAGAAACGATAAATGAATCGCATAATTGGAATGTTGATTACGATCGTAGAGAACATGATGTATGTTATAAGTTTTAATACTGTATATCAAATTATATAATGTATATATAATGTATATATTCTAATACAGTATTTTTGATAAATCACGTGACCACGCACTATAGCTTCCAATAGAATTATCACGTACAACTGCTGTAAAACAACTTTTGAAATTACAATCAACTATTCTTAGTGATTGTACATCCATACCATTAAATACTGTTATAGATGTAAGCGCTATAGTTGACGTTGAGATGTTAGATGGTTCTCTAACTTTACAATCTACATATGGTAGAGAATTATGGTTTTGCTGTCATCATGCAGTAAGTTTTTAAATTACTTTTGGACTATTATTTGATTATTATTTTTTTATCTATTTTTTATTAAACATCTCTTTTCGTTTTTTTTTTTTTTTTAGTTTCATCATTATGCTCTTATCAAAGCCATATGTATAGAACAAAATATTCCATGTCCACAAGACTTTGGTCTTGCACCTTCCACAATCAAAAATGCTGGGTTACCTGGAAATTTTGTAGAGAAATAATATTAATACCATATAGATGCCCAGGAGCGTAATTTCAAATTTTGGCTCGTATAAAGAATATAAAGAATATAAAGAAAGCTGAACTTTGAAATTACATCTGGTATAAATATTAGGATTGTATAAGAAAAAGAAAATTGTCGTTTCGGTTTAAAAGATTTAACATAGATAGATGTTTAATGATTGATTTGTACGCATACATTGAATTCATTACTGTACTGTATTCATTAGTATGTATCATTAGTGTATATTCTTGTATAAAAAAAAAAAAAAAAAAGAAGTTGATTACAAATATTATTCAATTCTTTGCGCTTGGTTAATTTACAATTATTATCAAACTAGTATCAAACTCCTGGTTTATTTCAATTATTCAATTTCTGTTTAATTTACAATAGTATTCAAATATTCAAATATTATAAATATTATCTTATTCTCGGTTAAGATTTACAATATAATCCTGGTTAAAATTAACCAATTTCATTTTAAATTGGCAATAATGCAAATTAAATTATCTATTGTTCAATTGTTACTCAACTTATCAATTCCATGGAAACTTTGGAAACTTTAAAAAGAATAATATTTGGTGTTTAACGATGAAAGCAAAAAAATAAAGTTTTATCGCTGTTGTACAAAAAAAAAGCCTCTTACCATTGACATTTAATTTACTAATACTGTAATTACCAAAAAAAAAAGGTATGAATGTTTTTTTTTTGTTAAAACAAATAAACTTTAGTTATAATGCTACCTTAAAATATTGTTACAAATGTATGTACGTAACGCCCCGGGGCGTTAAATTGAGTCATGTAATTTAAAGAGAACCAATAATTAATTTAGCCAAAGATTTTTATAGTGAATCAAATTCGGTTAAATTAATTAATTCTCTTTTAAACTCTGTGTCTCTAAATTACGCCCCGGAATGTTGTTTCGCACAAATACGGTATGTATATAGATCTATAGATAGGCTAATATAAATTTTAAAGCCTACTTGTATACTATATATGCATTAAATACTGTACTATTAGCTAATGATACAGATACATAAAAAAATTTTTTCTCTAATTATTTAATGTATAATGCTACAGTAGTTAATAAAGTTAATAAGTTAAGTTTAAAAAATTTCAATTTCACAAAATAAAAAATGTACGTACGCCTCCTGTTAATACAGTTAATACAATTAATACAATGAATGAATATCTGATATTAATTGATTATTCATCCCCAATTACCACAATTATTGAAAGGCAATTAAATTTACTATATATATATTTCATAATTAATGAAATATATATACAATATATAGTTTACAAAATATAATAAAATCCAAATAAATCTAACTCATTGAACTGAACCGACATGTTTGTTTAAACTGACATATCGATATTGAACTGATATGTTTGTTTAAACTGACATATTGACGTTGATGTTGACGTTGACGTTGAAAATGTTAAAAATAACACGTTAAAATAAAAATAACACGTTCAAAACTGATGCCAACGCATTGAACTAACACATACTACGTATTACATTAAAATAACATGTTCAAAACTGATGCATTGAACTAACACATACTACAGTATTACGTTAGAATAGCACGTTCAAAACTGATGCATTGAATTAACGCATTGAACAAACATATATACTAATACATTAATAGATACTTAACCAGTAAGTAAAGATTTTATTTGTGTTTGTGATTTCGAATTGATTCGCAATTATTAGAAAAAATTTCTTTTTTTTAAAAAATCTTAAAAAAACACCAAAAACTAAAGATTCTATATACAAAAGAAAAAAAGAGTTCAAAAAATTTTTATCAATATTTACAAGAAAATTTTGTTTAGAATAAAAGCTTTAAAAGGGAAAATTATGTTACTAAGTGTGTTTATTGTGATTCTGCAAAGAAAAATATCCAAAAATTTAGATTGAGGAAAAAATAGATATATGTAACGATTTCTTAGAATTGCTTATTTTTTTTTAAAAGTTATGTGTGCGTGTTTTTTGCACAAAAAAAATACCATATGAAAATTGTTCTATAAGTTGAAATTTTGATAAAATCGATATTTGTTTAAATTTTTTTGCAAATCGCATTTGTAAAATGGAAATTCTTTAACGAAATGTGTGCATAGAAAATGATGGATATATATATGTATATAAAAATACATATATATGAATGTATATGAATTATATATAATGTATAATATTAATAGTCCCAAAGTTATAGGGGAAACGAGAATGCTAAAATATGCAATCAGTTTGAAGGATATGATCATCCATTATAAGGTCACCACATTTCAAACTGATTCCTAAGTCATGATTAAAACATTTAATCAAGTCAGGTTGACTATTTGCTAATGTGGACAGAGAAGACGAAGAACTCGTTGAAGAGGAGAAACAACGGTCATAATCGACTAAAAATTCTGAAGGAGGGGTGGAGAAATCCATCTCACTATTCATTGAATACCAAGAACAAGCAGTAGCTGAGGAACTCGAGGATGAATAGTTACATATCTCACGTGGAGCAACAGTTGATATTGGCATATCACAAATATTAATAAACTCATCATCTTGTTGAGTAGTCTTTACATCATCTTCAGATACAGTAAACTGTTCACAAGCCAATATACGTTCTTTAAGTTCATCTAATGTTATACGCTTTTCAGGATTAGGATTAAAAATGTCCTTTAAAATATCATTTAACTCATCCGAAAGTGGAAGTATAGTCTTTAGAAAATCGCGATCTTGAAGATACATGGAAAAGGTTTCATCACGAAGACAAGCTTGCTTCCACGGATTACGACCGCAAGTAATATTAATTAAAATAACACCTAAAGACCAAACATCATTAGGAGCAGTTGCGTAACCTCGTACTTGTTTATTAAGACCACCTTGACATTCTAAATACAAATATATAATAATAATTATTATTAGTTTAACAATATTAATTTAATATTTTTAATTTAATATTTTTTAAATATTTTTAAATATTTTTAAATATTTTTAAATATTTATAAAAAAAGCTTACCAGGACTCATATAAAAGGTAGAACCACAACCGAAATCTTTTGACCAGACATCAGTAGTAGCTAAACCAAAGTCAGCAAGTTTAACAGTTCTTCCACCATCAAAAACAAGAATGTTTTCAGGTTTTAGATCACGATGATAGATACCGTTATAATGAGAATATTGAACAGCATCCAGAATTTGAACGAAAACTTGTTTGATAAGATGGTCATTTCCAAGATAACCACCTTTTTCGGTAATCATAGAGAATAGATCACCTTCAGGACAATATTCGAGAACAACATTCAAGGAATCATCAGTATCAATAACATTTTCCAAACTTATTATGTTTGGATGACCAGAAACCTGAGCATGAAGGTTTATCTCAGTCGCATGTAATCTTCGCTGTCTCGCATCTAAATTATTCTTTGGCATACACTTTACAGCATAGGCGCGTCGATTGACATGCTTTGCAGAGTAGACCACACCGTAAGCACCTATACCAAGGATACTAGTTAACTCTAAACGGCCATTATCGATGAATTTACCGATACGTTCATTAGGATCGAAACAATTTTCTATTAATGTGGTCATTATTTTCGAAAAAGTCAGAAAATGAATCTAGTGTATGATTAAATCTAAGGTAAAATGATGGTGATTATTATTAATAGACTAAATACTATAATTAAATCAAGGGAGATTAAAAGATTGAATAGGAATATATATATTTTTTGGTTCCTTTTTAGATATACATTTATCTTTTAAAGGACTTAGGGTAATATATCAGTTGAGCCTGCAAACATTCAAGGACGGATTAAGAATTTCCGTTATCTCTTGAAAAATCACCCTGAATTTAATTAAGTAATTATTTTAATAGCAGAGGGAATGGAAAGTTTTTTAAAATATAATGATAAACGGTTAATTAAAAAGAATTTTTTACAAGAGATAATTGCATTTATATGATTTATTTGATTTGATAGAAAGCGCGCAAAATAAAATGTTGAAAGCACGTGAAATTGCTCAAATTAAAAGAGAAGCATCCAAACGACAAAGAAAAAAAAAAAAGTATCTTTATGGGGAAATGACAAAGAAGAATTTGTCAGTAAGTAAAAAAAAATAATAATAAACGGCAACAAAAGGTTTTTATATATAAGATTTTCAATGAAGGGATCTGGGATCTAGGGGTTTACAAAGTAACAGGTGGGAACAATATGAAGTTACAAAGCAATATAAATTACTATAATGTAAAATATAGTTAAACGTATAAAAAAAGATATATATATAATGAATATAATGTTTGTATATATTTAGAATATATATATGGTATATATATGTGGTATATATATGTGGTATATATTTTAAATACTGAAATAATGTAAGAAACCGGCTATTTAATCATGTGATACAAAGCCACACTAACTTTAGTAAATGATTGCGTCAATATTTACATCAACATAATTTAAGACAATCTGTACATCAAAAACTTTTCGAAACGAAAGGTAACAACAGGTAAATAACACCACACCATATATCTGTGCTTTTGAAACTGAAATATTTTTTAAGGTAATCTGATGCATTTTCGAATACTTTATTAAATTTAGTAGATTAATAGATTCCCATGCAAGTACAGAAGTAAAAGAAAGATTATTCCCAAAATCGATCATTTTCATAAGAATAGACATTGGTAACTCTTCTAGCTGTCTTAACTGTCTTAGCTGTCTTAACTATCTTAACTATCTTAACTATCTTAACTGCCTTAACTGTCTTAAGAATCAATACAGCAATAGATTCAAAAGATAAGTAAAATGAAGTAAAATGAAGTAAAATGAAAACGCGTATATTTTATTTGTGTCAAACTTATTTGTAAATATTATTTTTCTGTGGGGAAAAAAAACATTTGTGTGTACGTAGTGAATAATAATGTGATATGATCTAAGCATTTTATTACTATATTTTTTTCCAGATCAGGATTAGAGTCGTCAGAGTTTATAGTCAGACGATCTTTTGTGACTATTATTATATTATGAAAAGAGTTGATATAGATGGATTTTCCATCGCTCAATTCTCAATTTGTTCTCACGCTTTTTAGATAATTAAAGATGTTCTTTTTTAGGTATCAAATATTTCTTTTTATGTCATGCTGGTTAAAATACGTGTCGATTACTGTATGTTAAAGGTCATTTGATGTTCATGAATACAACTAATTCGTCATTATACATCAAAATGGTTGATAGATGTTACATTTGACAGACCATGTACGTACGTACGTACATACGTATGATGCACTGTGCAATTATGCACCAAGAAATAAATGCCGGTTTGTAAAATCTAGAATAGATTAACAAACACCCCCCACACCTTTTACAATGTAATACTGTAGTAAACTTTTTTCTGTACATGCGTATTTTTTTTTTTGATAACCTCTTTGATTGGATCTATACTTTATTAGTCACCCTGCATTTTAGAACAATTATCTTAAAAAGCCTGTTATTCTTTAGACGTTAAATTTTTATCCTGCTTTCTAAATTCTTCGCCAAAACTCTTTTCTTGAAATTTGGTGGAGTCATTTATCATTGTCTCTGTTTTTTTGTCACCCGAGATTGATTACTATTTACCAAACTTGGATATTATTCAAAAAAAATCTATTCTTATTTAGATTTTATTATTAGTACAATGTCATTTATCGATGATTGATCTTCGGCCTGCTGACCTACGTATGCACGTACGTATGTATGTATCTACTTATTCTGATTATTATTATTATTAAATATGAATCACCCGAGATTTCATATTTAGCAAAGCTGTATATAGAAGAAAATAAAAATCACGATACCTTATCACCCTATTATAATAGCATGCTTGTATCTCAAATCTCGCCATAAAAATTAGTAATGCCTTAAAGGAAAAAAAACTCTATCCTTATTTAACCAATCATTTGATGCAATATATTTTTTTTCGCTCATACTTTTTTTCCATCTCTGCCTCTGTACGTCCGTTATTATGTAAAGCCATCCACATGAATAATGCCTCTTCAAGATTGGATTCACGTTTCACATTTACGATAGGTGCATTTGGATTAATTACCAACCTTTTTTTCTTTAGTTTCCATCTAGATTGGAATTATTTATTGTCAATATCTTACGTTTTTGGTTTTTTCTCATCAAGTTCATTTTTCTATTTTGGTCTTTTGAAAACCACTCTTTACTACTGTAGTTTGTATATTATTAAACTAGTTATTAAACAATATGTAAATTTTCATTTTTTTACTTCAAAAAATATGGCTGAATACGCATTTCCATGCAGGGGCACATTTTTTTTTATAATAATTTGATAAAAAAGTAAGTTTTTGATAAGAGTTTAATGTATACAAAGAATACCGATAATTATTACCTTTTTTTCATTTTATAATCATGTTTATCTTGTCCAAATCTTATTCAATTACAAGCTTCTAGAACTTTTCTTATAATCGGTCGGATATTTATTAATTGTTTCTTATTATTTACCTGTATACTGTGGCGGTCGAAATGTATCACTTAAATTTACTATGTATTTCTTTTTTTTCCGATAAAATAGCACAAAAAAGAATATTTTATATATCGGTATGGCTAACCAATGAGATTTTGTATTGCATTATAAGAGTTTAATAATGAACAGCGACTTTTTTAGAGTTAAAGCATATATACTGTATATATATACAATGTTTTTAAATATAATAAATAATTTGTGTACCAGAAATAAGCTATAGATTTTTTGAATTATTTGAATTATTTGAAGCAGATGTTTGAAAAAATACTGTCTGTATACAGTATAGAAATTTTACTAATACTGTATCTTATAAAGTAAGCAGTGAATTGTATAAATTTATTATAACCAGCTTTTGAGATTCTAGCAAAAAAATATATATTGTATTTTTTATATAAAATATAATTTTTAACTTTAAAACTAGCCTTTAACTTAAAATTAAATTATTTTTTTGGTTTATATACTGTATACTCATGTTATACAGTATACAAATAAAAGAAATAAATGCTTGCAAATATATAAATTTTAGATATATAATAATCAAATAAAATCTTCAAATAGTTGAATAATTGTATAGTATATATATACTGTACATATATTTATTACTATACAGTATATACTGTACATATATTTATTACTATATATACTGTATATACATTATAATAAATATACTTTATATATACAGTATATTTGTATAAATCAAAATTTCAAATTAATTAATGAAAATTATTAGCCAAAAAAAATTATTATTAAACAATTAGTAATATAAAAAGTTTTGCAAACTTTTAAACAAAATATATACTTATTTAAAAATTACAAAATTAGCGACACATTTTGCGTCATGGCTATATGCACTGCCACAAAAATATCTGCACTTCTCACCCTGATCGAGCAATTTTACCGTTCATCACTGATTTGTATGAATTATAAAATCTATGCGTGCCGTGTGAATTTTTTAAATCGTTCTCGGGAAGAAAAAAAAAATCTAAATTTAAGTATATCTTTGTTAGTAGTTCATAGTTGTAAATCCTTCGGGTTACCTTTCTGACTTCAAAGAAGGTTGTCTCTAGATTGATGCCCTGATGAATTGTATTAAGTCCATTTTAAAATTGGACTGGACTGCTCCAAGTTCAGTTCTACCATAGTCCAGTTTTCACATGATCGAAATAATAAAATTTCACTGGATGTAGTTAATCTTAGATGCACGTACTGATTGGTAGATGAGTATATAAAGAATATTTACTAACTGCTAATCAAATTCCAGTGACCAACACTACTGATGTGCCTGAAGTAAGGTCTAATGGTTCTTAATGAGGATCTTTCCTTGTACTGTAAAGGGATCTAAGAACAAAAAATAATGATATTTACTATTTAGCATTTATTGTATAAGTTTCCCTTATAATTATGACCTCATTACGCTTGACGTTGTAACTACATTATAGTTTTTGTACCCGTGTTCAACTTCAAATGACCAATGACCAAATGTTCAAATGAATTGGTCATTGATCATTGGTCATTTGGTCATTTACGTTTGAAATGACTAAATGAAAAATTATACACACATTTGCCTGTATCTTATTGGCTGACAGGTTAATCACGTGATACCGCCGATTTATACATATATAACAAAATAACCTAGGTCATTTGGTTATTTAGAATAAAATGACCAGCCATTTCCCAACACTGATGTTCAATATATATAGATACGAATCAATTAAAAAAAGAATGAAGTAACTTCAGAATTGATTTTATTGCCATTTCTTAGCAGTATATGATCTATTTTGCTAGATGCAATTTATTTTATTATAATGCCAGAATATTGGGAAACATAATACTGTAAAGTCTTAGTAATCTATCAATTGCAAAAACGGATGGTTGATTAAACCTCATTTCATTAATGTTTTATATCGATATAATAAAGTAAACCACTAAAATAAATAATATCTGGGACAGATTTATTCGAACTATTACAGTATTATCTGATCCCACCTTGGCGTAAAATAAAATTATCTCAGGTCGTGTAAATTGAATGCAAAATTCAATGTTCCTAATGTCTTATCTGATCGGGATAAAATTCTTGGTTTATTTAGATCTCGGTAAGCTAAATCAAAACTACTATAATTAATTATCTACATAAAGTTGAAAAAAAATTATAAAGGATTGTCATCACCACATTATTTACCTCGTATATTTGTTCATCCTCTGCTTCATTGAATTATGATATTCTATTAATACATTATTGTAGCAAACATAGTCTTATCAAAGCCTCTATAAAGTCTCTATATTAATTTATTTAGAAAAATGTAATAACCCATGCAATTAAATTATCAATACGTATAAATCCTCGAAAATACTTCTTCAGGATATAAGTTTTTCATGGCATAATCGACCTCCCTCTCATCGACTATATTTGCATATGCTAATACATTTGCAATTCTATTGAAACCAAATATTTACATGGTAAGCAAGTACCATAATAACATTAATTATTTTGTAAATCAACTTCAGAGTCAATGTTAGCAATATTAAGCATTTGTTTCAATCCTTGATTTTCTACTTTCAGACTTTCTATTAGAATATCTGTATCCAAATCAGTTTGAGCATTGTATGCTTCTCTGACTAAACTGCTAATGTTGGAAATATATGATTGTAGGGTGACATTTTCTGATATCACTTGTGATGTGGTTGCCTTGTAAAACATAAATTTCAATGTTAACTATAAATCCAATTACAACTTAATATTTCAGAAATTGTACGTACCCGTTCCTCCTCTAATAGTGCTTCATAATCGCGTTGCATATCTAATTTACTTCGTTGTATTTCACACTTCATTTTTTGGTAATATAATAAACCTTTATTAATTAAATTCTTTTTTTTTTTTTTATCAAAAAGATTATAACAATAGAAATGTGAAGAAAACTTACAGATTGAATTCGAAATTTCTTCATAACTATTTGCAATGTTGTTTCATATTCTTTAATTATAGATAATAATTCCGAATTTTCTTCATTTAATTGTCGGTTTTCATAGATTAATTGTGCATTCTGACGCTCTATATCTGTTCCAGCCTCAAACGGTGGACCTTTATAAAATAATTGCTTAAAAATTACTGTACGTTCTATAGTAACTTTTAAAATTTCAAAGTCATGCGGGATATTTATTTTATACCTTTATAATTTGAACGATTTAAAGGGCCCTCGTATTTTTCAGCCCGACTCTTTAACAATTGAAATGCATCAACAAATAAATTACATTTTAATGTATATAATTATATTCGCAAAGTATATTTACTTTTAATTCATCTACTTGTTGCTGTAACCGCCTAACTTGTTCACGATTGACTGCAAGTTGACTACAAAGTTCTTGTGTAAGTTTTCTAAGTCGAGGATCTTCTTCGCTACTACTTGGTGCCATATCCGGTGTCATTTCGCAATTAATTAAGAGCCCGAAAGTTGATATCCAGTTAGGTGTCTGTTAAATTTCGTGGTAATTTCGGAGATAGTACTGGTTATTATTAAAATAACAGGAAACATATCCGACAATTAACTAACATACTAAAAATTAGAGGTGCTGATGAAATTAATTAAATTCACCAAATCCACCAATTTATACCAGTCTCACCAATAGTGGTGTTTACTAAAAACCTCTTTTTCTGATTTTTTTAGTGATTAATTTTAAAATTCAAAGTAAACTTTATGACTAAAGATTCGTATTAATCAGCGGCAAAATCATGTTTAATGGTAAAAATGATAAACTAACATTATTGTGATTTATATGTAGTTATATTAAACAATTTCTCACTTTAGATAAAGACAAAATCATAAACATTTGCACTAACTGAAAGAAATAAGATCCAAAACTACAAATAAAAATAAATTATTCTTACTCTTAATGATGATATAATTTAAACTACAAAAATAATATTGAACTGATGATCTACTAATGCTCGGAGTATTGTAATACATTATCAACACTTTCGTCCGCCTCTTTTTTTAAATTGGCAAGGTTGAGACTATTGTTTCTAAAGGTGTTAATCACTCTGACTGTATCGACAGCCCTCTTAAATGTTTTACGGGCGTCGAAATTGTTACGAACACTAGGCAACAAATCAAAGTTTGTACCAACTGGACTTGGTAAAGGTTCTTGAAGCCATTCATGCTGAAGAGCTTGTTCAGCAGTGAGGCGGTCCTTCAGATCAACGACCAACAATTTGGCAATAAAATCTTTGGCTGTTAAAAAAAAAAAAAAAAAAAAATTCGTTAGAATTAAATTATAACGTAAGCGGATTAATAATTCAATATAATGCATTAATCTCATATTACCTTGAATGCTTATCCCTTCCCAATATTCTGGAGGTTCGAACTTATAATCAGCTCTAAGAATAGCTTGCATTTCTTCTTGACTATCCTCTCGGTCAAATGGTGTATAACCGCACAATAAAAAGTAAGTAATCACACCAATAGCCCATAGGTCGACTGGTTTACCATGCCCCGTCTTTTTAAAAATTTCGGGTGCCTATAGAAAAATAATTTAAAAAAAACCCCAAATTACAAAACAATTATAAACTTAACCAATAAAATAAGGGTATAATATCATTACCATGTAGCCAGGGGTACCACATGTTGTAGTAAGATAATAAAAATTTTCAGAATCAATAATTCGAGAAAGACCGAAATCAGCAATAAGTAGATCGGAATTCTCCTCAGCCGTTGTAAAGAGAAGATTCTCCGGCTTAATAGAATTATATAATAGTTAAATTTGTGGAATTATAAATCGAAATTTATAGTAAAATATGTTACCTTAAGATCTAATGAAGTTATTTAAACGAAAATAAATCAACAAATTAATTAAAAAATATGAAATTAACGAATATTAATTGTCAGGGATGATGCTGAAACAAGATGATGTGAAACATTGACTTATTTTAATATTAAATTTTAAAATTTTTGGGTGATGTTTTTTTTAGCTTTTTTTTTGTAGTTAAGTTAGGGTTTAGGGTTAGTATTTATAATAAAAATGTATAGGTGGA